ACTCGGCGGCGGCGAAGGCAACAGAGGTGCCCCTCTGTCCATGTTCCGGGTCCGAGTGCGAGACATCGGCGCAGGTGTTGTCGAGCAGCTGCTGGATGGTGTCTCGGTTGCAAGTCGGGCTGCTGACCTCTCCAACGACCTGACGGCAATCAGCGCCGGTGTGACGCAGGGTGATTGCAGTCTCGGCCGTGTCCACCGACTCAAGCTAGTTCTCTACGTATCAAAAATGGAGGAAAGTAAGATACAGTCACCACGATCTTGATGTCCCGACATGCGGAGCTCTCTGCACTTACGAGTCAGAGTGACGGCGGCCCATCCACCCGACTGCATGTTGCGGTTCAGGGAGGTAGCCAGATCCTGGGCGGAGAACGCGTTGACTTCGACAATGTTGGCCTTAAAAGTCTGGACGCTGCACTGGAAAGCGGTGCATGCACCAGGCAGCAGAACGGCTGCAGTGAGCCAAGCCGGAGTGATCTTGATCAACATGACTGAGAGTGGGAGTAAGATAGATGTTGGAGAGGTTTCGAAAGCTAGATAGACGTATGAGGAAGCGATGCTGGAAAGGGTTCTCGAGGAGGACGATGGTGCGCAGCTGGGATTGACGAGGAGAGAGACGGCTGTATTTGTATGTTTGTCGAATAGGGTGCCGGGACCCTCTCTCCGTGCGGTTTCGGGCAAGGCAGCGAGTTCATGTCCATCGGCAAGGCGGCAAGGACATCCGAGCTCAGACATTTTGCGCCTCTCGGTGGGACTAGGGGCATCGAGAGCGCGGCCGGTGCCACTCGGCGCGTGGGGCTCTGTGCGGTGCCTCTAAACCCACACGAACCCACATGGCGGTGCCATTCTGAGCAGACACAGCGACACATGAAGTCCGAGAGCGAAAAGTCGGACAGTTCAAGGTGAGCTCAGATGCTGCGAGTCAATGGACGCGTGTCACACACAAAGCAGTTGCAATCGACCCACCCGAGGTGGTGACCATATGTATCATGGAAAGAGTGAGTGAGAACGTGGGCTTGTGCCTGGCGATGGTAGAGTACAGCATGTGGATAACGGAGCGACTCGCCCGAGCGACAAATGAAGATCAGGAGAGCAGTGCGTGTGAGTGTGGGGCGAGGCGGAAGAGGGCGGAATTGTTGTCAGAAAGGGACTGAAACGAAGATGCCGATTGCATTTACTTGATCTCGACCAGCTTGACGTCAAAGATGAGGGTGGAGTTGGCGGGGATGCCGGGAAGCTTCTGGTTGCCGTAGGCGAGCTTAGCAGGGCAGGTAAGACGGCGCTCGGCACCGACGCGCATGCCCTTTACGCCCTCGTCCCAGCCCTTGATGACCTCGCCGGTGCCGAGCTTGAAGCTGAAGGGCTTGCCGCTGGTGTTCTGGTCGAAGATCTTGCCGTTAGTGAGCTTTCCGACGTAACGCATGCCGACCTTCTGGCCGGACTTGCAGGCCGGGCCGTTGCCTGGGCTCTTCTCTTCGATGACGAGGCCCGAGGGAAGCTTGGTGGTGGTCATCTTGGAGGCGGGCTTCTGAGCGGCCTTCTTGTCCGCGGCCTCGGCCTTGGCCTTGACGTCCTTGGGGCTCTTGGCCTGCTTGTCGGCCTTGGTCTCGTTGGCCTTGGTGGGTGTCGAGGCAGCCGAGGCGGATGCAGCGGCGTCGGCCTTGAGCTTCTTTGCAGCGGTCTCCTTGACAGGCTTTTCGGCAGCACGCTTCTTGGAATCCGAGGCGGGGGCAATAGCGGCCTTTTTGGGCTTGGTTGCGGGCGACTCGACGAGCTCCTCGAATCGCTCAGGGTCCTCTTCCATGTCTTCGTCGTCATCGCTGTCCTCCTCGTCGAGCTCGTCCGAGTCGAGACCGTACATGACGTCGTCGTCGTCGTCGTCGTCGTCGTCGT